TAATGAACGTGTGTACTCACCTATTTGTGTCTGCAGGATCGAGCATTGACTCTTGGATCCCGCCTTTCAAGCATCGGTTGAACATTTCATCTATGTCCACTCTGTCAATCCCCCTGAGTATTTTATACGTTCCTATCATATCCCCCCCTCTCCCTTCTTCTTTCTAGTGTTGGAAGGCTTAGTTCCTTCCGGCGCTCTTCATATTCCATCCCTCGTAACTCTGGGACGAGTCTCGTTGCAAACCTCTGAACCTTTTCCAGCTTCCATATATGTTTCTTCAGGTGGGGACTCCATGATGAGGCGGCATACTCTAAGACTGGCCTCACGTAGGCAGTGTAAAGCGCCCTAAATGCCTCCTTACTTAGATTTCTGAATGATGTTCCAACTTTTGCCAGTGTAGAGTACGCTGCTGTCGTTATCCTATTTATATGTGCCTCAGGAGATAGATTAGGTGTTACGTCCACCCCCAGGTCTCTTTCACGCGTCGTCACAGGTAGGCAGTTCCCCTTCATTGTGCACTGTCCCTTTGGTCTCCTATCACCTAGTCCCAATTCCATAACTTTACATTTGCTCGTGTTGAACTCCAGTAGCCATTTCTCTGACCATCTCTGCAACCTGTTCAGGTCCTCTTGGAGGATTCTGCAATCCTCATCTGTCACAACTCTTCTCATCAACTTTGCGTCATCCGCAAACATCGACATGTAGGACTCTACGCCTGTAAACATGTCGTTAACATATACAAGAAATAGAATTGGTCCCAGCACCGATCCTTGTGGTACTCCACTTGTTACTGTTCGCCAGTCCGACTTCTCGCCCCTTACCGTAACTCTTTGGCTCCTTCCTGTTAGGTAGTTCCTTACCCATGCTAGGACCTTTCTCCCCACCCCCGCCTGCCTCTCGAGTTTGAACAGCAGTCTCATGTGCGGTACTGTATCAAAGGCTTTTTGGCAGTCCAGAAATAGCTGCCCAACCTTCTCTGTCCTGTCTTATCGCGCGCGCGCGCGCGCTTGTGTGTGTGGTGTGTGTGTGTATGTGTATATGTGTGTATGTGTGTGTGTGTGTGTGTGTGTGTGTGTGTGTGTGTGTGTGTGTGTGTGTGTGTGTGTGTGTGTGTGTGTGTGTGTGTGTGTGTGTGTGTGTGTGTGCGCGTGCGTGCGTGTGTGTGACTTACGTAAGAGTCAATACAACGATGTGGGGGGAGAGAGAGAGAGAGAGAGAGAGAGAGAGAGAGAGAGAGAGAGAGAGAGAGAGAGAGAGAGAGAGAGAGAGAGAGAGAGAGAGAGACAGAGAGAGAGAGAGAGAGAGCAGCAGCAGCTCATGCTTACAGCTTCACTAACAACATCAACAGCACATCTAATGAACGCTCACTAGCTCTATAATGAACCCAAAATCTCGCGCGACAGAATAAACAGCCACTACATAACTCCATTATACAAGAACACTTCATCCAACTATAATGCAGGCGCCAACATTGTTGGCATCGTGTTGCTATTTTAGTAATGGTCGTTAGGGTGGATTATATATATTACGTGTCTTCCGTCACCGCCGTAAACACTAAGTGAAACCCGAGGTGTCCTCCCCGCAGACTTGCCCGGGCAGCCATCTTGAATTCTTTCGTCTGGCAGCACCACTTCTCTCCTGTTTCTGCTTCGATATCGTACAGTTGGAAAATAAGTCACTAGTCATTATAACTGAAATCTCACATAAAATAACTTTGTGGTGACATATTAAAGAAATAAGTTAAAATTATATACGAAAATGGTCAATTAAGAATGATGCTGCCTTCAAATAACACTAATGAAAATATTTAAATAATTATTTTTTAATAATTCAAATTTATGTTTAAGTAACGAAATTTTAACAGCGATGTAGTCATTGTATTCATGATGAAACAAATACGGTAAATTAACGTTCATCATTAATGCTGTCTCAGAGGAGTCTTGACACAGCTGACGGACGTATGAACAACCGGTCGTTGTGACTGAGCTTCAAGGCAGCCAAGGCCACAATAGGACTATACTAAGTATCTGACCAATCACAGCTTAGCATTTCAGTCAGCCATACCATGTGAGGCTTGTCTTAACAGGTGTTATCGTACGGTTGGCAGTGACAGTTCCCGAGCTGCTGCTGCCGGGTGCTGTCTGATTACTTATCGTACTGGAACAACGTGGTTAAGAACACACGGGGAGAGTAAGAACACACAGGGAGAGTAAGAACACACGGGGAGAGTAAGAACACACGGGGGAGAGTAAGAACACACGGGGAGAGTAAGAACACACGGGGAGAGTAAGAACACACAGGGAGAGTAAGAACACACAGGGAGAGTAAGAACACACAGGGAGAGTAAGAACACACGGGGAGAGTAAGAACACACAGGGAGAGTAAGAACACACGGGGGAGAGTAAGAACACACGGGGAGAGTAAGAACACACGGGGAGAGTAAGAACACACAGGGAGAGTAAGAACACACAGGGAGAGTAAGAACACACGGGGGAGAGTAAGAACACACGGGGAGAGTAAGAACACACAGGGAGAGTAAGAACACACGGGGAGAGTAAGAACACACGGGGAGAGTAAGAACACACGGGGGAGAGTAAGAACACACGGGGAGAGTAAGAACACACAGGGAGAGTAAGAACACACAGGGAGAGTAAGAACACACAGGGAGAGTAAGAACACACGGGGAGAGTAAGAACACACAGGGAGAGTAAGAACACACGGGGAGAGTAAGAACACACAGGGAGAGTAAGAACACACAGGGAGAGTAAGAACACACGGGGAGAGTAAGAACACACAGGGAGAGTAAGAACACACGGGGGAGAGTAAGAACACACAGGGAGAGTAAGAACACACGGGGGAGAGTAAGAACACACAGGGTGAGTAAGAACACACGGGGGACACCTCCACCACACACGGTGAAACAAACACAAAACAAACAAACAAATTAAGTCACAATAACAACCACAAAAATATTAACGAAACATTTCACCAACAATTAAATACGTCAACACATAACTTTGTTAACGGTATAAAGATTAACAAAATCTATAAATACAGCGGAGTGACCCACCATACTGTATGGTTGTGTATTATAATGTGAACTCTGATTGTATATTCTCCATGTTATTTTAACAGGAGTTTGTATACACACACTGTTTCTTTTATGATAGATTGAATACACACAATATTACCTTTATGGGAGAACTGTATAGGCAGAAAATTCCCAATTCCAAAAATTTCAGAAAATTCCAATTCTGAACTATTGAGTTGGACAAACTGGAAAACACTTTTGTTAGTTGTGTTGATGTGATAAAATGAACTAACATATCTTAACCCTCTAGGCCTAATATACGATATCAGAGGCCTAATATACGATATCAGAGGCCTAATATACGATATCAGAGGCCTAATATACGATATCAGAGACCTAATATACGATATCAGAGGCCTAATATACGATATCAGAGACCTAATATACGATATCAGAGGCCTAATATACGATATCAGAGACCTAATATACGATATCAGAGGCCTAATATAGTATATGTGTGTGCCATACTAGACCTGAGAATATGTAAGTTTGTGTTTTAGCTTTATTTACTTTAAAATAATTCCTTACTAGACATTACAATGTTCAGAGTTGATGTCGTACACGGTTGATATCGTACACGGTTGATGTCGTACACGGTTGATATCGTACACGGTTGATGTCGTACGCGGTTGATATCGTACACGGTTGATATCGTACACGGTTGATATCGTACACGGTTGATGTCGTACGCGGTTGATATCGTACACGGTTGATGTCGTACGCGGTTGATGTCGTACGCGGTTGATATGGTACACGGTTGTTGTCGTACACGGTTGATGTCGTACACGGTTGATATCGTACACGGTTGATATCGTACACGGTTGATATCGTACGCGGTTGATATCATACACTGTTGATATCGTACACTGTTGATATCGTACGCGGTTGATATCATACACTGTTGATATCGTACACGGTTGATGTCATACACGGTTGATATCGTACAAATCTGGGAGCCACACAACCAGTGACACACACACACACTCACACGGGAGTCACACAGCCAGTGACACACACACAAACACGGGAGCCACACACAAACACGGGAGCCACACACAAACACGGGAGCCACACACAAACACGGGAGCCACACACAAACACGGGAGCCACACACAAACACGGGAGCCACACACAAACACGGGAGCCACACACACACACGGGAGCCACACACAAACACGGGAGCCACACACACACACACGCAAACATGGGAGCCACACACACACACACACGGGAGCCACACACAAACATGGGAGCCACACACACACACACACGGGAGCCACACACACACACACGGGAGCCACACACACACACACGGGAGCCACACACACACACACACGGGAGCCACACACACACACACGGGAGCCACACACACACACACACGGGAGCCACACACACACACACACGGGAGCCACACACACACACACACGGGAGCCACCCACACACACACACGGGAGCCACACACACACACACACGGGAGCCACACACACACACACACACGGGAGCCACACACACACACACACACGGGAGCCACACACACACACACGGGAGCCACACACACACACACACGGGAGCCACACACACACACGGGAGCCACACACACACACACGGGAGCCACACAACAAGCGAGGATCACTATTTCCTGAGCCACACAATTCCGACAACCTACAAAAAAAGGACTGGACATCGTGCCGTTAGACCACAAATGTCGTGCCTCTAGTGTCCGCCATTTTAGGTTCCCACCACTAGAAAAGAGGGGAAGACTCCCCGAAACTCGCACCACCGCCGCTGCCAGGAGCCCCAGCAGGGGACGGACCAGCAGCCTGCGCAACAAGCCTCCTTAAAATCCCGTCAAATTCGCAACTAAACAGCACGGGCCGCGAAGGTTAAAAATCCGAGGGTGGCGGCGGCAATGGCTCCCGACCAATGGGAGGGCGAGCGTGCGAGGCCAGCCAATGAGCGTAGAGGGAGCGGGAAGCCCGGGAGCCAATCAGACGTTGCCAGCCGGGGCCCCCAAGAGGGCTCGAGTGGCTCCAGATGGCCTCCAGGCCCCTTGAAGGTAATTGTGAGAAATATCTGGAATTGTCAGCTTGTGAGGGTTGAGCACGAGGCATTGTTAGTATGCAAGTGAGAGGTTGAGTAGAGAGTGCACTCACTCACTCCTGACCGTCCGCCGGTGTGTCGTGTTACCAGGTGTGTTGTCACCAGGTGTGTGTGTCGTGTTACCAGGTGTGTGTGTCGTGTTACCAGGTGTGTGTCATATATGAAGTTGAAGAGTCAGTGCCACAGAAAAAAACAAGGGTGGGAAAGGTTGTGTTGAACCATTGTACAACATTAAAGGTTAAATTCCTGGTGGCGCGAGCCACAGTGTGAGGCGCCAGTCGGTGAAAATAAACTGAAAAAATCTTTTGTTTAAACGTGCTACATATTACACACTCACGCGCCGCACAAAGCTTGTAAACTGTGTCACTCGTGCCGGTAACGCGAGCCAGATAAGTCAGGCCCCAGAACACCCTAAACACTTAATGATTCAAGTGAAATTCGTAAAGTTTGTTTTTCAAAAAAGTGTTTTGTGCGGGAAATGCATTTTTGACGCGAGAAAATTATTGTATTGATGAGTGACAAATAATTTAGTTTTTTTTTATAAGGACTCAATTAATGGTTCTTTCTTTAGCTCGATTTTTGTTCTGTTATTCATCTTATTAATATATATTTTTTATTTATTTACTTTATTCTTTCTATGATAATAATATTGATAATTATAATATTAATTTTATTATGAGTTATTAAAATTAATATTAAGAACAATATTGCTAATTATTCAATCATAATTATAATAATAATTAATATTTTGTATTGAAATTGTTTTTACTTAGTAATTTAGGTTAATTTTAGCTCAAGAAAACTAATAGTGGAGTGTGTATATGTGCAGTATTGTGCAGTGTTGTGCATTGTGAAGTATTGCACATAATTGTGAAGTACTGTGCATTATTGTGAGGTATTGTGCAGTATTGTGAAGTACAATCACTCAAGTACTGTGTGATTATGAGTACATGTTGCATTATTGTAACGTATTGTGCAATATTGTGCAATACTCATAATTATTGTACATTATTATGAGAAACTGTGCAGTATTGTGCAATGTTGTGCAGTATTGCGCAGCGCCGCTGAGCGTGGCCTGCTGGAAAATCATTCAAAACTATTTTGCCCCATACATCAACGGTTAGGTTAGGTTAGGTTAGGTTAGGTTAGGTTAGGTTAGGTTAGGTTAGGCTAGGTTAGGTTAGGCTAGGTTACGGTTTACAAGATGTATGAATTGTTGAGTGATTGCATGCTAGGTTGCTACCTACCTACCTGCCCAAAGGGGCTCCATAAGCTTGCGAATTCTGCAAGATCTGAGCGTAGAAAATGTTGCGTTGGTGCACTGCATAAGATCTCCTGAACAATACGAGGCCGCTACTATTTATGTCCACACAAACACATTTATGTATATGTGTAGCCTCCGCTGTGTCTGTCTGTAGACTCAGACTGTGTGTGTGTGTACTCACCAAGTTGTGTTTGCGGGGGTTGAGCTCTGGCTCTTTGGTCCCGCCTCTCAACCGTCAATCAACTGGTGTACAGGTTCCTGAGCCTATTGGGCTCTATCATATCTACACTTGAAACTGTGTATGGAGTCAGCCTCCACCACATGATTGCCTAATGCACTCCATTTGTCAACCACTCTGACACTAAAAAAGTTCTTTCTAATATCTCTGTGGCTCATTTGGGCACTCGCGTGTGTGTGTGTGTGTGTGTGTGTGTGTGTGTGTGTGTGTGTGTGTGTGTGTGTGTGTGTGTGTGTGTGTGTGTGTGTGTGTGTGCGCGCACGCGTGCGTGTGTGTGTATTGTAGCGCAGTCTGCGTACCACCTACTGGTCACGGATTCTATTTGCAGACAAGATTGGGCACATTTCCCTGCACCTGATGCCACTTTTCACTTAGCATTAAATAGATACCTGGGGAATTAGGCAACTGTTGCGGGTTGTAGCGTGGGAATGGCCAGTCAATGATTTGGGGTGACCGCGGTAAACCTATTATATCTCAGAAAACGAGAAATAAAGCAAGAATTAGTAATTTAGAAAGATGTAATCTCCCTCGCGACAGGAAAGTGCCGTAGTTGATGCTCTAGATCTTTATAAATATAAGTCATACAGAGTTCAGCTGCAGCTTGTGTAAGACAATGTGAGAGATGGTGGCGTCGACGAGGAAGGCATCACTAAAGAGCCTGGGATGCGTAGACCTAAGCATCTTCATTCCTCTTAAACAATTGTTTTAAGTGATTCGATCATTCACAGATAGTATATTCAGTGCCTTCCTCCTCTTTGCTAATTCAGTTGTGAGAGTGTGATGATGAAGCTCCCCAGCACCTTGCAGGCACTAGAGCAAGCTGGGAGGCGGTCTAATAAATTAAGCACTAATAGTTGAAAATGCATAATTCTACCAGTTCTTACATTTTTCTTCAAAGCTGGGGTTCTATCTAGACACACAAGCTTGAGACAAAGCTGGGGTTCTATCCAGACACACAAGCTTGAGACAAAGCTGGGGTTCTATCCAGACACACAAGCTTGAGACAGAGCTGGGGTTCAATCCAGACACAAGCTTGAGACAAAGCTGGGGTTCTTTCCAGACACAAGCTTGAGACAAAGCTGGGGATCTATCCAGACACAAGCTTGAGACAAAGCTGGGGTTCTATCTAGACACAAGCTTGAGACAAAGCTGGGGATCTATCCAGACACAAGCTTGAGACAAAGCTGGGGTTCTATCCAAACACGAGCTTGAGCCATAGCTGGGGTTCTATCCAAACACAAGCTTGAGACAAAGCTGGGGTTCTATCCAGACACAAGCTTGAGACAAAGCTGGGGATCTATCCAGACACAAGCCTGAGGACAGCGAGCCTCTCTCTACACCGAGGGCCCAGTCTGGCTACAACATGACCGCACAACAGACCTTAAGACCAAGGTACTTGAAGCTGGCTACACAGTCACGCTGACAGCCACCAGACACCTGAGTCTGACCAACGACTCCGCCCCGGCAGGCTGGGCGCCCCCTGCACCATCTTTGTTTTCTCAGCCGAGATGATCCTGACACCTGTCTTGGTCTAAGACAAAGTTAATAACATTGTGACTGCTGGCAGGCCCAGCGGTATGGCATATTATATCATCAACATAGCTAAGGACGTGTTCGTTGGGCATCCTGGGCACAGACTTAAGCTACGAGTCTACAGTGTAGGACTGAGAACATCTTCCTGTAGAGTCTCTTGTTAGGCTCTTATGTTCCTAGGACGGAACAGATGACTTACTGTTGGATAGATAACCAGCTATCCACCGAAGCAGCCAGCCTCCAACATCCATTCTGGCGAGGTCACTCGGGTTAGTAACGTCCAGACACAAGCCTTGCCGGTTAGTAACGTCCAGACACAAGCCTTCTCGGTTAGTAACGTCCAGACACAAGCCTTGCCGGTTAGTAACGTCCAGACACAAGCCTTGCCGGTTAGTAACGTCCAGACACAAGCCTTGCCGGTTAGTAACGTCCAGACACAAGCCTTCTCGGTTAGTAACGTCCAGACACAAGCCTTGCCGGTTAGTAACGTCCAGACACAAGCCTTGCCGGTTAGTAACGTCCAGACACAAGCCTTGCCGGTTAGTAACGTCCAGACACAAGCCTTCTCGGTTAGTAACGTCCAGACACAAGCCTTGCCGGTTAGTAACGTCCAGACACAAGCCTTGCCGGTTAGTAACGTCCAGACACAAGCCTTCTCGGTTAGTAACGTCCAGACACAAGCCTTGCCGGTTAGTAACGTCCAGACACAAGCCTTCTCGGTTAGTAACGTCCAGACACAAGCCTTGCCGGTTAGTAACGTCCAGACACAAGCCTTGCCGGTTAGTAACGTCCAGGCACAAGCCTTGCCGGTTAGTAACGTCCAGACGCAAGCCTTGCCGGTTAGTAACGTCCAGACACAAGCCTTCTCGGTTAGTAACGTCCAGACGCAAGCCTTGCCGGTTAGTAACGTCCAGACGCAAGCCTTGCCGGTTAGTAACGTCCAGGCACAAACCTTGCCGGTTAGTAACGTCCAGACACAAGCCTTGCCGGTTAGTAACGTCCAGACACAAGCCTTGCCGGTTAGTAACGTCCAGACACAAACCTTGCCGGTTAGTAACGTCCAGGCACAAGCCTTGCCGGTTAGTAACGTCCAGACACAAGCCTTGCCGGTTAGTAACGTCCAGACACAAACCTTGCCGGTTAGTAACGTCCAGACACAAACCTTGCCGGTTAGTAACGTCCAGACACAAGCCTTGCCGGTTAGTAACGTCCAGACACAAACCTTGCCGGTTAGTAACGTCCAGGCACAAGCCTTGCCGGTTAGTAACGTCCAGACACAAGCCTTGCCGGTTAGTAACGTCCAGACACAAACCTTGCCGGTTAGTAACGTCCAGGCACAAGCCTTGCCGGTTAGTAACGTCCAGACACAAGCCTTGCCGGTTAGTAACGTCCAGACACAAGCCTTGCCGGTTAGTAACGTCCAGACACAAGCCTTGCCGGTTAGTAACGTCCAGGCACAAGCCTTGCCGGTTAGTAACGTCCAGACACAAGCCTTGCCGGTTAGTAACGTCCAGACACAAGCCTTGCCGGTTAGTAACGTCCAGACGCAAGCCTTGCAGGTTGGTAACGTCAAATGCCGAGGTTAGATCTAGAAGGGTGGTACAGGGACTTGATCATGCAAGGGGAGGAAGGAGGTCATTCAATGATATTCCATTTACACTTGAAGCCATATATCTGGGGAGACAACACGTCTCTATTACACTCTGGGCTCCCACACAACAATTAATGTACGTTCTTCCAAACCTATAATAATAATAATAATAATAATAATAATAATAATAATAATAATAATAATAATAATAATAATAATAATAATAATAATAATAATATAATAACTTATTATTAATGTATGAGATGTATAGAAAATAGAGATATATAGATATAGATATAGAAACCGAGACGCAGGCACTAAGGTTCACACAGACGTGGACACAGGACACAGGTTCATCATATAGGCATGGACAGTGACACGGATACATCCATATATACATACATTTATTCAGACATACATGTATCGATATAGACATGCAGGCATTGACGTAGACAAAACCATGGATACAGACATTCTGCCAGATACAGAAATACAGGAAGGGATACAGACGTACATCATTGTCTAACAAGTCCCCGTGGCAAAGCGGTAAGACACTCGCCTGGCGTTTTGCGAGCGCTTTGTCCTGGGTTCGTATCCTGGCCGGGAAGGATTGACTGGGCATCAATCCTTAATTGTAACCTCTGTTTACCCAGCAGTATAATGGGTACCTGGTTGTTAAACGATTTGGCGGGTCGTATTCCAGGGAATATTAGGATTAAGGACCTGCCTGACACGCTACGCGAGCTAGTGGCTTTACAATATAAGAACTCTTGTATATATATATATATATATATATATATATATATATATATATATATATATATATATATATATATATATATATATATATATATATATATATATATATATATATATATATATATATATATAAGAGTTCTGTATATATATATACAAGGGTGTGAGTTTTCGGTTATATATATATATATATATATATATATATATATATATATATATATATATATATATATATATATATATATATATTTATATATATATATATATATATATATATATATATATATATATATATATATATATATATATATATATATGTCGTACCTAATAGCCAGAACTCACTTCTCAGCCTACTATTCAAGGCCCGATTTGCCTAATAAGCCAAGTTTTCATGAATTAATTGTTTTTCGACTACCTAACCTACCTAACCTAACCTAACCTAACTTTTTCGGCTACCTAATCAAACCTAACCTATAAAGATAGGTTAGGTTAGGTTAGGTAGGGTTGGTTAGGTTCGGTCATATATCTACGTTAATTTTAACTCCAATAAAAAAAAATTGACCTCATACATAATGAAATGGGTAGCTTTATCATTTCATAAGAAAAAAATTAGAAAAAATATATTAATTCAGGAAAACTTGGCTTATTAGGCAAATCGGGCCTTGAATAGTAGGCCAAAAAGTGAGTTCTGGCTACTAGGTACGACATATATATATATATATATATAACCGAAAACTAACTTACACCCCAGAAGTGACTCGAACCCACACTGCCAGGAGCACTATGCATCTGGTGTACAGGGCTCCTTCACCACTCGACCATCGCGACCGTTCAAAAGATGATGGTAGCCGAGGCTATTTACCCCATCATCCCGACGGCGCTCTGATGGTAATCTTGGGTGATTTGAGGTGATTTGATAAAATACCATGCCCAAGATTACCATCAGAGCGCCGTCGGGATGATGGGCTAAATAGCTTCGGCTACCATCATCTTTTGAACGGTCGTGATGGTCGAGTGGTGAAGGTGTCCTGTACACCAGTTGCAGAGTGCTCCTGGCAGTATGGGTTCGAGTCACTTCTGGGGTGTTAGTTTTCAGTTGCATGTATGCCTGGGGACCAGTCAGGCTTGTTTGCATATATATATATATTCGTATATTTTGGTAGCAGTCTTTCTTGTAAACATATGTTGTTAAATATGACCGAAAAAGTAAGATTAATAATTCTAACACGAATTTTCTCAATATTTCTTATGTTTCTTTTTACTGTCGATGGTAAAAGAAAAATCAATTCTCCAAAATTCGTTTTATTTCTAGTCTGACGCGACGCTTGAACGCGTTTCGTAATAACTTATTACATTTTCAAAGACTTTAGTTTACACACACAACTGTAACTTGAAAACACTAAACAGAGTTTTACTTATGTTAACACTAAACAGCTTATCTTATATACTCGCACTTGGGTGAGGTGATATGTTGCAACAGTTTTGGATGAGGTGAACAAACTTTTTGACCAACACAAGACAGAACACGGAACAATGGGTATTAATTGGATAAATGAGAGGGAAGAATGGAAGTAACTGCAAAGGGCCTATTGGCCCATACTTCCTCTTGATGCTTCTATATTGGTATGGAGTCTTGAAGTGGGTAGAATATAGTTGTGCATTAATTGGCTGTTGATTGCTGGTGTTGACTTTTTGATGTGTAGTGCCTCGCAGATGTCAAGCCGCCTGCTATCGCTGTATCTATCGATGATTTCCGTGTTGTTTGTTAACAAACAGTCCCCAAGTGGGCATTTGAAGGCATAGACGACGTTAGTTTCCATTAAAGCGTTCTGCTTTGTGTCTGGAAAGTTTTTCATGAGTAGGTTGGCCGTTTTTTTGGTTTTATAGTAAATCGTCAATTGTATCTTCTGATTTTTGTCTGTAGGGATAACGTTCCTATTAACAATATCTTTCAGGACCCTTTCCTCCGTTTTTTGAGCTGTCGAAAAGAAGTTTCTGTAAAATTACAGTCTTAAAAAATTTATTTTTAATTAATTAATAAAAATCCCCCAAAGACTGTAATTAAAATTACAGTCTTTGGGGCTTTCAGTCCCACTTGGGGATTGTAAGCCCCAAAGAACTCAGTATATAGGCAAGACAACAACATCTCTTTCCAGGCGATTAACAATGCATAAGCAACAGGGCTCCATTAAGGAACATATAATCTCTTTCCACAACCAGACCATCACCAGAGAAATCTTAACAAACAACACAGAAATCATCGATAGATACACCGATAGCAGGCGGCTCGACATCTGCGAGGCACTACACATCAAGAAGTCAACACCAGCAATCAAGAGCCAATTAATGCACAACTATATTCTACCCACTTCAAGACTCCGTACCAATACAGAAGCATCAAGAAATATGGGCCAATAGGCCCTTTGCAGTTACTTCCATTCTTCCCTCTCATTACAAAACGCTTTCAAGCGTCGCGTCAGACTAGAAATAAAAATGAATTTTGGAGAGTTGATTTTTCAATTACCATCGACAGTAAAAAGAAACATAAGAAATATTGAGAAAATTCGTGTTAGAATGATTAAGCTTACTTTTTCGGTCATATTTAACAATATATATATATATATATATATATATATATATATATATATATATATATATATATATATATATATATATATATATATATATATATATATATATATATATATATAGCTATTTCTTGATAGCATCAAGAAATATGGACCAATAGGCTTTCTACAAACACTTCTATTCAATACCCATTGTTTCTGTTCTGTCTTGTGTTGATACTTTTAATACCCTATTAATATCCCCTCCTGTTCTGTCTTGTGTTAATGCCACATCACCCTTCCCACCTCACTCAAATGTAGATATAAAATCAGAGATACGTTCTAATCAGTTGTGTATTTGTGAAGTCTTTGAAAATGTAATAAGTTTTACGAAACGCGCCCGTGTCGCGTCAGACTAGAAATAAAAATGAATTTTGGAGAAGTGATTTTTGATTTACCTCCAACAGTGAAGCGTAATGTACGAAAGATTGAGAAAATTCGTGTTAGAATTATTAATCTTACTTTTTCGGTCATATTTAATAATATATATATATATATATATATATATATATATATATATATATATATATGTATATATATATATATATATATATATATATATATATATATATATATATGAGACGTGAGCTTCCCTCCAGAGGGCCCGACGGGGTCCCTCTAAGATGGTGGTAAGGTTCATCTTAAGATGTGGTCAGTAAAGAAGTGTGTGGTTAACAAGGTGTGGGGAGAGGGGGGGGAAGGGTTTCCTTGTACAATGACCAAAGTGTCTAGCAGTAGAGGTCAGTCCTTAACGAGGACAGCTGTCTGTCTGTGTCTGTGTCTGTCTGCCCCACACCTCCCGTCTCCTCCCCACCACCACCACTCCCACCCACCATCAACCGGCTCCCGGGACAAGGCGACAGCAGTATGCAAATGAGCACCTTGCAGGCTCCCGCCTCCAAATTGCAAGATAGAGTTTAGGACGCCATTTGCGGTTTAGTCAAGTTCCCACCGACCGACCTTTTTCTTATCCCAGACGATGTGTTCATCAAGTTGCGTATTTGTGGCATGTGTGTGTGTGTGTGTGTGTGTGTGTGTGTGTGTGTGTGTGTGTGTGTGTGTGTGTGTGTGTGTGTGTGTGTGTGTGTGTGTGTGTGTGTGTGTGTGTGTGTGTGTGTGTGTGTGTGTGTGTGTGTGTGTGTGTGTGTGTGTGTGTGTGTGTGTGTGTGTGTGTGTGTGTGTGTGTGTGTGTGTGTGTGTGTGTGTGTGTGTGTGTGTGTGTGTGTGTGTGTGTGTGTGTGTGTGTGTGTGTGTGTGTGTGTGTGTGTGTGTGTGTGTGTGTGTGTGTGTGTGTGTGTGTGTGTGTGTGTGTGTGTGTGTGTTTATAGTTTTCTTGTTTTTGTCCCCCCCTGTATACCTCTCATGCAACCCGCTCAATTATGTATGAATTATTAAACATTCCGCGTCCAGCTGTTCTTCGACGCGGTCCGTATTGCTTCGCACAGCCTGGCTTTCTGGGGGAGGTGACCCGTGTGTGTGTGTGTGTGTGTGTGTGTGTGTGTGTGTGTGTGTGTGTGTGTGTGTGTGTGTGTGTGTGTGTGTGTACTCACCTAGTTACACTCACCTAGTTGTGTTTGCAGGGGTT